TTGAGTTTATCCTGCTTGAAGTTTTCTGAGCTTCATGAATCCTTCTCCACATCCTTGGCAACACTTCCTATTTTCTATTTTGTTTAGTTTTGTAGTGACCAGCCTAATGAATATGAAGGTTATCTCATAGTGGTTTTGATTTGTGTCTCTCTATTTTTTTACATGCTTCCTGGATATTTGTATATCTTCTTTGAAGAAATATCTAGTCAAGCCCTTCACCCATTTAAATTGGATTATGTTGTTGTTGCTGTTGTTGTTGTTGTTGTTGTTGTTGTTGTTGTTGAGTTGTAGTTCTTTATGTATTCTGGACATTAAACCATTCTCAGATTTATGATTGTCAAATACTTTCTCCCATTTTTAGGTTGTTCTTTCACTGTTGATTTGAAGCTATTTTCTTTGATGCACAAAAGTATGTAGGTTTAATATAGTCCCATTTGTCTGTTTTTGCTTTTGCTGCCTACACTTTTGGTGTCATATCCAAAAGAGCTTGTGAAATTCAGTATAATGAAACTTTATCCCTGTTTTCTTCTAGGAGATTTATAGGCTTTGATATTTAATCATTTGAGTTAATTTTTATATCTGTTTTAAATGAAAAGTTCAACTTCATTCTTTTGCATATGGATAATCAGTTTTCCCAGAATCACTTCTTGGACAGACTGTCATTTTTCCATTGTGTAGTCTTGGCACCCTTGTCAAAAATCACTTGGCAAGATGATATGAGAGCTTATACATGGACTCTTTATTCTGTGCCATTATTCAATATGTCTGTCATTATGCCAGTACCACTGCTTTGATTACATTAAAGACAGTACACTATATTGATTATTGTAGCTTTGTAATATGTTTTGACATCAGGAGGTATGAGGCTGCCAAATCTGTTCTTCTTTCTCAAGATCATTTTGGCTATTTGGTATCTGTTGCAATTCCATATAAATTTTAGGATTTTTTTTTTATTTATACAAAAAATATCACTGGGGTCATCATGGGGATTGCATTGAATTGTATATCACTTTGGGTAGTACGGACATTTTAACAATTAAGTCTTTTAATCCATGAACACAAAATGTCTTTTTATTTGTGTCTTGTTTAATTTCTTTCAGCAATGTTTTGTAGTTTTCAGTGTACTAATCTTTCACCTCCTTAAAGTTATTTATAATTTATTATTTTTGATGCTATTGTAGATGGAATTATTCTCTTAATTCCTTATCTGATTGTTCATTGTTAGTGTATAGAAATGCAACTGATATTGTGCATTGATTTTATGTCCTTTAAATTTACTGAATTTATTAGTTCTAATGGTATTTGTGGAATCTTTAGGGTTTTCTACATGGAAAATCATGTCCTTTGTCAGCAGAGATAATTTTACTTCTTCTTTTCTAATTTGGATATTGTTCATTTCTTTTTCTTGCCTAATTTCTCTAAGACTTCAGTACTATGTTAAATAAAGGGGCAAGAGTGGACATTCTTGCCTTGTACCTGATCTTGGAGAAAAAGCTTCCAGTCTTTCATTATTGAGTACAATGTTAGCTGTAGGCTTCCTTATGTTGAGGTAGTTTCTTTCTATTCCTAGTTTGCTGAGTGTTTATTTTTATCATGAAAGGATGTTGACTTTTGTCAGATGATTTATCTGTATCACTTGAGATAACCATATGGGTTTTGTTTTTCATTCTATTAATGTGGTATATTACCTTAATTTTCATATGTTGAACTATCCTTGCATTCCAGGAATAAAGCCCATTTTTTCCGTGGTGATTATCTTTTTAATGTACTGTTTAATTCAGTTTGCTGTTGGTTGTTGAGGATTTTTATGTCACTGTTTATCAAGAATATTGGTCTGTAGCTTCTTTTACTTTATAGTATCTTCGTCTGGTTATGGCATCAGCATAATTCCAGTCTCGTAAAATGAGTTAGGAGTATTTCTTCCTCTTCAATCTTTTGGAAAAGGTTTGAGGAGAATTGGTATTAATAATTTCATTGTTTGGCAGAATTCTCCAGCTAAGCCATGTGGTACTGGGCTTTTATATGTTAGGAGGCTTTTAATTATTGATTTCATCTCTTTACTAGTTATAGATATGTTCAGATTTTTAAAATTTATTCATGATTCAGTCTTAGCAGTAGGCAATATGTTTCTAGGAATTTATCCATTTCTTCTTGGTTATGCAATTTGTCGGTATAATATTGTTCACAGTAGTCTCATAATCCTTTTAATTTCTGTGTCATCAGTTGTAATGTTTCCACTTTCATTTCTGATTTTAGTTATTTGAGTCTTCTCTCTTTTTTTCTTAGTTAATCTAGCTAAGCATTTGTCAATTGTGTTGGTTGTCTCAAAAAAAAAAATCTTGCTTTCATTGATTTTTTTTCTATTGTTTTTCTGTACTCTTTCTAATCTTTATTATTTTCTTTCCTCTGCTAACTTGGACTTTTATTTATTCTCTTTCTAGTTCCTTGAAAAATAAAGTTAAATTTGGGAACTTCCTCCTTTTGAAATGTGTTTAGCATTATAAACTCCCTTCTTAGTACTGCTTTCAATTCATCTCATACATTTTGATATGTTGTGTTTTTTCCCTTCATTTGTTTCAAGATAGCTTCTAATTTCCCTTGTGATTTCTTCTTTGATGTATTGGTTAAGAGTATATAATTTAATAACTGGATTATCCAGTTTTCCTTTTGTTATTATTTCTAGCTTCATTTCATTTTGTACAGAAAAAATACTTTGCTTTCAACCTTCTTTTTTAAAATATTTGTTTTGTGGCCTAATATTTAGTCTATTCTGGAGAATATTCTATGTGTACTTGAGAAGAATGTGTATTCTGCTGTTGGTGGTGGAGTGTTCTCTATATGTTGGTTAGGTCCAATTGATCTGTGTTTTTCAAGTCATATGTTTAATTATTGATCTTCTGTGTAGTTGTTCTGTCCATTATTGAAAGTGGAGCTTGAAGTCTCCTGATAATACTGGATTGCTTTCTATTTCTTCAATTCTGTCAAAGTTTGTTTTATGTATTTGAGAGCTCTGATGCTAGGTGCACATATATTCATAATTGTTATATCCTCTTAGTGGATTGGTCCTTTTACCATTATATGCAATTCTTCATTCTTATAACAACTTATGACTTAAAATCTATTCTTTAAGTTCACTGATTCTTTCTACTGCTTGATCAAGTCTGCTGTTGAGCCCCTCTACTGAATTTTTCAATCCAGTTATTATATTCTTCAGCTCTAGAATTTCTATTTGGTTCTTTTTTATAGTTTCTATCTCTTTGTTGATATTCTCATTTTGTTCATGCATCAGCTTTCTGAATTCTATTCGTTGTTTCTGTTATCTTTTAGCTCATTGAGCATCATTAACATGGTTGTTTTGAATTATTTTTCAGGTAATCCATATATATCCATTTCTTTAGGATCAATTTCTAAAGATTTAATTTGTTCCTTTAATTGGGCCATTTCCTCATATCTTTGTGTGCTTTTTCCTGTATTTTGTATGCCTTACGATATTTAGTTGATATTATGGCATTTGAAAAAATGGCTATCTCATCCTATTTTTACAAACTGCCTTCTTACAGGTGAAGGGCTACACCAATTATCCCAGCTAGAGATTTGGGGGAATCACTGAAACCTTTTCTAGGGATGTGTCTTCTCTGTGTGTAATTTTCCATTTGAAAAAGGTTTGCCGGTTTCTTTCAGGAGCCTTTATATCTTGCTCTCCCTGGTGTGTCTCTGCAGTACTGCAGTATTTCTATTCTCAGAGGTCTCAACCTGACATGCAAAATATACCACTGTTTTCATCACCACTCTGAATCAGGCAAGACAGACACCTGTTTCTGGGGAAGTCCCACAAAAATTGTGAATGTGCATTCCACTCTCTTCTCCAAAGGAGAATCCAGGATTGGGGAGCTTTCTTCCAATTGCGTCACATTGTCTTGGGGAAGAGGAGGAAGAAGGGTTAGGGCAGGCAGAATGCAGCAAACTTTCTTACTTTCCTTGATACAGCTCTTCTTGGGTTTGTACTTGTCTAAGTACAAAAAAACCTCTTAATTTGTTTCTGGAATTCTCACAAAGGCAATATGGTTCATATATTGTTAAGTCAGTGTCTCTGTAGGGGAATGAGGTCCTGGGTTTTTATTCTACTAACTTGCTGACATCATTCTAATAAGAATGTTTTGCTGTCTTCTGGTTATGAGTTTGTCTGTGGATTGAGTCCTGTGGTTGTGCTGAATTTAGGCTGTACTCTTCCACTATCTAACATCTAAAGAAACAAATGATGCTTTCAGCAATAAGAGTGAAAATCATGAATTGTTTTCTTTCTCCCTGCCCCTTCCCTTCCAGCAGTGTCTGACTCAGAAGCAGCTCAGACTGGAAATAGAATCCAGGACCTGGGCCATCACACCACACTAGCTTCCTCTGGAGTCCCACAGCCTGCTTATCGGCCATAGAAAGTTTGGCTTCTGCTCTTTATGTACCAAAACAGCAAAGCCAAATAGTTTAGACTTATTTAGGCTTGCAAAGAGGAAAGGAGATAAAAATAGCTAAAATGAGCTAGTATAAGAATTACTGCACTGAGGAAAATATTTGGGTTTGTTTAGCTTTGCTTTACTTTGCTTTGTTTTTCAGAGTCACTGCTAGGCATAACTTGTGTGAAATTTCTTTGAAGCTCATGCTTGGTTCTGCCAGATGTTAGGCTCCAAATATGGAGGAAAAATGCTGAAAAATGTGTGTGTATCATATTTTTTTAAAAGCAGATAACCTAATGAGGTAATAGGGAAAAGTGCCTATCATAATTCACAGAGATGGTTATTTTTAACCTTTGCAAGCTACCGAAGTCCTGTTGGACCAGAGGGCATGGCTGTGACATTGTCATCTGACACCTGACACTTGCTTCAACAGATGTTTCTCAGGGGAGAGTTTCTTAACAAGCCATCTTACCATAGTTTTTTCAGTTACGGTCATTTTCTTTGCTTCTTTATTTCTTCCTCTCTTTTTTTGCTCGTTTGTTTGTTTTTTAGGTTAGATGCAAACAAACCAATACGGTACTTGGAAAACAAAACAGTTTTAAACCAGGCTTTACAACGGTTGAATTGGCCCATTTCATTGAAAGAGCTGTCGATGCTGGAAAATGAAATCCTTACTGGGAAAATGTACATCCAGCAGGCCATGGAACTCCAGGAGGCTGCCAAGAAGAATTATGCAAACAAGGTCCCGGGAGAGGTGGGTACCATGGAGGTCTCTGTCTTTCCTCCCTCCCTTCCTGTCCCAAGTGATTGTGATCCCTACACTGGCTTCCTTTTCTCTCTCCCACCCACCACCACACTGATTTCTAAAAGAGTTAGAGCCAATCCAGTTAAGGTCTCGGTAGTTTTTTTCATCATAAAGGAAATGGCATTTGATTGTATTATGGACTTATTTTCAAAGCAATACATCTTTTAATTGAAAAAAAAAGAAGTATAATGTAGTGATTAAAAGCCTGGACTTTCATAGAAACCAGATCAAGAACTAGCCTCAGATCTACCATCTAATCTGTGTGTGATTTTGGCTACTCAGTCTCTTTAAACCTCAATTTTCTTACTTGTAAAATAAGAGAATTAATAGTATCTATCTGATAGGGTTGTTTTTAAGAGAAATGAACACAGTGAAGTGCTTAGTATTGAAAGCTCTCCATAAGTGTTAGCAATTATTTTTATAATCATTAATAAAGCAAACCTTCTAAAAGAAAAAATAATTTATAACCTGGCTGCCTTATTGCTACCACTTGGGAGCCTTTCCTTTTAGGGTTTTTTCTCCTCAAATGTTTTTTACATATGCACTCAGAGTGTCCATAATTGTTGTATATTCTGCTTTGAAATTCAGCATTGTTTCACAGACTGTCTCTATGTTTTTATTGATTTTTCAGATTCATATGCATGGTGGTTGCATAATATTCCATGGTGTGAATATACCCTGGTTTATTTAATTCTTCACTAAATGTTAAACATTTATAGTTATTTTCCAGTTTTCCACTTTCTCACATAATATATTCATGATTCCTGTGGTGCACATAGTTGAATTATTTTGTTAAGAAACAGCCTTAGAAGTAGTATTTCTGGATCAAAGAGTAGAAACATTTGGAGTCTATAAGTACACATGGCCAGTGTGAAATCCACTCTCTGACTGTACATGGGTGTATATGAATGGTCCATTGTTTGAATGTGTCCCCCAGAGTTCATGTGGTAGAAATTTAATCTCCCTTGTTGCAATGTTGGGGGGTTGACATTTAAAAGGTGTGTGTCAGAAAACTCTCTCAACCAGTGCTCTCACACCACAACAGCAGTCATCAACAGGGAAGAGGCTTCTGTGATCAAAGGTGGGGGGATTTTCCCACACATACCAAGCAGCAGATACCAGTTGGTTCTTCTCCAATTCAACTCTGACAGTACCCCCCTGGAGATGGCATCAGATCCCACAGGTTAAGGATTCAGTCCCCAAGACTGGCTCTCCCAACACATCAATCACGAGTCTGGGCCTCCAGAACTTCTGACTGACTGGCTTCAAGTTGGGGTTCCCTCAACTCCCTCTTTGAGTTTGATTAATTTGTGGGAGTGGCACATAGAACTCAGGGAAACACCGATGTTTAGCAGTTTATTATAAAGAGTATTACAAAGGATACAGATGAAGAGATGCATCATGGGAGCTATGCGTGAAGGGGTGCAGAGCCTCCTTTCCCTGAGTGCCCTCCTTGGATGGCCCACCCTCCAGGAACCTCCATGTGTTAAGCTGTCAGTAAGCTCTCAAAACCCTGTCCTTTTGGGTTCTTATGGAGGCCTCATTACGTAGGAATGATTGATTAAAGCATCTGCTATAGTGATCAACTTGACCTTCAGCCCCCTCCCGTTCTGGAGGTTGGAGGTTGGGGCTGAAAGTCTCAACTACCTAATCCTACCTTGGTCTTTCTGGTGACCAGCCCCACCCTGAACCTACCTGACAAAGACACACAGAAGACAGTACTTCAGAGACAGAAGGATATTAGCATTTATGAGCCAGGAACCATGGAAGGAAAAAAAAAA